GTCGTGCGTCAGAACAATTCCAGAAGTCAGCATGCCTCTTCGTTTGTTTTGAATAGCTCTCCGTAAACGTCGCAAAGTTTCACAATATGAATCTGCTTTAATTGTTGTTCCAGGCTGCATAAACTCCATAAGCAACACACCTTTTTGGTCCCGAAAAACAGTTGCCATAACCTAAAAGTTGTTAAAGGTTCGTTTGAATTTTGTGGGTCTCTTTGGAGAATTTGTGTGCCTCCATAGTTGTGATTGTCGTTTCGTTTTGGGCGTGTCATATTGAACCCATGTCTCATCACCTGTCACAATGGATTTCAAAAACTCTTCTCCGTCAGTACTGTAACGGTCAAGAAACTCAAACGCTGCAACCATCCTGCGAGTTTTGTGGTCGTCAATCAACATCGGTGGGACCCAGCTGGCGCAAACTTTTCTGTAGCGCAACTGTTCAGTGACGAAGAGTACAGGGAAGATCTTGAAACTTCCGGAAATTTCATCGATAATTCACCTATGGTGAACCTTTATTTTGCTTAACCGCTTGGTCAACTCGTTGAACAATGTCGTCTGTAGCGACAGACTTGCGTCCTTGATCCCCTTTATCATGCACATCAGTTCGGCTCGGCCATCTTTAAACTTTCGACACCATTCACAAACAACGCCATCACTCATAAAGCTGTTTCCATACACTAGACTCATTCTTCGATGAATTTCCGCTGCACTCTGCCTGCAAGAAACTAATAACAGCTCGCCATTCACACTTGGCGGGAGATTCAATAGCGACAGCCATGTTTACGTGACTACAGCTCAACAGAAAATGGCGTGTTGAATCGTTGAATATGCCAGTGACAGAGCGTGGGGAGTGGGAGATGCGCTGTCGCCTACTATGCACACCAACCACCTGCCGCATACCTGGTCATCATACTGTGCGATCGGAGGTTGAAAAAAAAACAACCTACACATATTTTGATACATATGTGTGTTTTAATGCAAATGTTACCGCTCAAGTGTGAAAGTCGTTTATATGCACATTACCTAGCTAATCTGCTTCGCTGAGCTCTGGTAGTTCGGTCCGAGGTTTGAATCCGGCGAATTTGCTGGATACATGGGCTTTCTCGTAGTTTTCCCCATGTGTTACACGTATATAGACTATTTTCCCTTAAAAAGTCCTCCACGAAGGTATTCCTTTCCTTAGACAGATAGCCCCCTCTCGAGGCTTTGCCGTAATTACATAGACCTAAAAAAAGACATACCTAATCTGATTTACTGATTTACAAATCAGTTTAACTGATTTATAAATTAGTATTTGTAATCAGTTTAACTGATTTGTTCCGTTAAAGTGAGGAATCAAGAGTTTTCCCCATTTTATCTAGGTAATGTAGACTGCAGAATCAAGAGTTTTCCCTGTTTTATATAGGTAATATGCACTGCAGAATCAAGAGTTTTTCTCCATTTTATCTAGGTAGTGTGCACTGCGGAAGCAAGTGTTTTCCCCATTTTATCTAGGTAATGTGCACTGGTCTGGTATGGTATGGTATGGTAGGAATGTAGCGAGACACCCAATGTTTACTATAAGTAATGTAGGTGTAGTCCCACCACACTTCGGGGCCCACCAGCGGCCGAGCGGTAAAGTCGCTGAACACTGGTAGTTCGGTCCGAGGTTCGAATCCCGCGAACGGGCTGGCTGCATGGGTGTTTTCGTGGTTTTCCCCATGTGTAACGTGCATACGAGCCAGTTCCCTTAGAAAGTCCTCCACGAAGGCATTCCTCCCCTTAGGCAGATAGCCCTCGAGGCTTTGCCGTAATTTAAATAACCTAACCTAACCTAACCCACCACACTTCGATCTAGAGAATGCCCAAAAGATCACTGCGCTCATCCAGCTGTCGTGCCTCGAAACATTTGTTTCACCTCAAACCGAAAATCCCGAGACCGCCCGTGAGTCCCGGGACTCCCAAAAAAGACTCAGATCATTTATTTATATAAAATATATATATATAAATGTACATAATATTTAACACGAGGTGCCATCGCACTTACATGCTTTGGATACATATCTAGTTTCGACTTGTACAATTTGGTCTTCATGGTAGCAATACACATGTATTAAGCATAATACAATTGATACAATTACTACAATACAATTTTGACTAATTATCAATAGATGGTATAATTTTGAGAATTTAAATTTATTACTACATTACTTAAATGAATAGTGGAATTTAATATTTCACTAATTCAATATATAATGCAATGTATAATGCAGTTTAATTTAGTATAGTAATTCAATATATATATATTCAAATATAGCACTGTTTTTACATATTCAATAGATCAGTGATTATATAGTTCATTGATCCTAATAGTTCCTAATAGTTTATAACTGTAATAGTTCATAAAAGTTCAAAGTAATATATTGGCATACAGTTCGCAAATAGTTCGTTGCTGTATAGTTCATATATAGTTTGTATATAGTTCATAATAGTACATTTATAGGATATTGGGAAATAATTCTTAGTAGTTCATAATAGTTTATTGGCAAAATTAGTAGTGTTATAAAAAAAAGAATAATTATAATAGTTCATTGACGTTTAGTTCTTATAAGTTAGTGTTTAATATAGTTCTTAATAGTTAATAATAAATAATTCCATAATTAGGTAAACGCTTCCCAGTTGTTAGTATTTTGTATAGTTTATACAACGGATTTAATAATCCTGCTGGATAGACATTCAGCAGGATTATTAAATCCGTCAGGTTCTAGGAATGACTTAGATAAATAGTTAGTATTTTCAATAGTTCATTTTCGTTATTACTATTATCATAATCAACAGATTAGTAGACAATGATGTGATTATGTATAATTTTTAAAGTTGATATATATACAGTAAGACCCCGCTTAACGCTGTTTCGTTTAGCGCTGGTTCGGTTTAGCGCTCTTTTATTTCAACCCGGGGATTCCACGAAATCGCTCGCAGCATACGGGGATTCCCCGAAATATTATGCAGCGATAGGTTTCAAATACATATCCGAAAGAGTGTACTTGTATTTCTTGTTTGGTGCGGTATTGTACAGACATATTTTGAAGGGGTAAATGTGGAAGATGTGAAGAAATAATTCAAGAAGCAGCGGCTAGTCTTTCTAATGATGAGCTCAAGGAATTAACTGAACAAGAAGAAAACAAAAAATGTTGACAGCAGTGATTCAGAAGAAGAGCAAAAAGAACTTTCGATGGCGTTTGTAAAAAGGAGTTTGTCCTACCATAACTGAAATAATGGATCATTCATTGAAAATGATCCGAATTTTGACAGGAGCTCAAAAGTAAGGCGTGGTGTTAGAGATGCTCTATCTGTTTATGAAGAACTTTTAAGAGAACAACGCAAAAGAAAAAGGCAAACAACATTAGATGCTTTTGTCACAAAAAGGCAGAACACTGAAAACGCGGAAGGCTAACTAAATATGACTTTGAATTTTATTTGTTTTTTTTAAGAATATTCGTTTTGTTATTTATATTTTGTTTTTATTTTTGCAAGAAATAATAATGTGGTATTAATTTGTGCTTTAAGAAATAAATGTTTGGTTTTATTTTTATTAAAAAAACATACTTTTTAAATTTAATACCTAACCAATTTCCTAGCCATCTTCCCCTAACCCCAATATTTACATGTAAAGATAGCCTCGTTTAGCGCTGTTTCGCATTACGCTCTACTTTGATGGAACGTATCCCCCGCGTTAAGTGGGGTCTTACTGTATAATAGCTTATAATATGTTTCCTAAAACATTTTATGGTTAATACTGGATTCTCTTATAACGAAAACTTAAAGTAAGGAAAGTAGAAAAAATGTCAAAATTAATTCGGATTATTGTCATAAATATGTTTTAACACCTATTTCTAAGGACGATATTCCATCTCTTTACCCAAACAAACGTCATTGTGTTACGTTCCATTAGGATAAGGGTCCATGCCATGCCTCTAAATCTGCTGCTCTGTTTTTTTTTAAAAATGAGAAATGTAAGCAAAGTTGGAGCTGTTCCCTTTAAATGCATCCACCCAAGAGTCCTGATGTGTCTTCTATGGATTACTATGCATAGCAAGTTCGTTATAAGTGGCATCCAGAAACAATGGATGGACTCTGGAAGATTGTGAAGGAGGAGTAGAATAAAATCAATCTTGATGTTTTAAGAAAAGGACAAGGTTTGTTTGTATATAAATCTTTGCAAAATCGTTACAAAAATATGTTAACACCCTATGTATTGTTTGTTGAGCTTTGTAATCGCAACAACTTTTAAAACATTCTCAAGGATGTATACCGCTGATTGGTTTCTACGTTTGTCGCCTTTGGCAAATTCTCTGGCTTTACTAAAAACATCGATTTGTTTGGAAAAGATACGAAAGAAACCGTATGTTTTCTCTATAAACATGTTCACCATTTCCTAAGTTTACGTTGACCTACACCTACCCAGAATTTAATGCTCAGGCGCAACTTAAAAAACACCACTGTTTACATATTGCTAACAGTAACTCGCCTGCAATAGAAGTAATGGAGGAACAACATTATGTAATTGAATCATTAACATCATGTAATATGTAACTGTTTTTCAGTACAACGGGAATTGGTTGCAAATGAGTTGAGCAATAATCTAAATGCATTACACATTAATCAACATTATGTAATATGTAACTGTTTCTCAGTACAACGGGAATTGGTTGCAGATGAGTTGAGCAATAATCTAAATGCATTACACATTAATCAACATTATGTAATATGTAACTGTTTCTCAGTACAACAGGAATTGGTTGCAGATGAGTTGAGCAATAATCTAAATGCATTACACATATGTGTTCTTAATCAGGATTGACGTGTTGTACATGGTGATTGATATTAAAATTTTGAATTATGATGTATCAAGGAATTCAAATTATTTTAAAAAATGCTTTATTGAATGTGATTTGTAATTTTTTTTTCAAATTTGTGTATCGATATCACTTCCTTATCCTCTCTACCCATTCATGTTTCAGCACGCTTTTAGAAGACGTAAAAGAACAACTAATTGCTACCATCGAAAGAACTTTCCATTTGTCTAGAGACAATGCTGAGAAGCTTCATTGTGAACTAATGCAGTGTGTTCGTCGGAAAGATTTGGTAAGTTCTTCAATCAGTAATTAGAACAAATTAACGGGCTACGGCCTAAGCAATATTTGCAAGTTCTTTGTTCTGAAAAACTGAAAATAAAATGAATTATTTATTTCAAAATTAATTATTAATATAATGTTCTGTATAAAAAGTTGCTAGCTAAGACCAAAGCAAAATTTTTGAGTTCTGTGTATACCTGAGGAAAAAGTGCATAAAAGAAAGTGCATTTCAGTATGAACGAACCAAACCAGGAAACAAAAACTTTTGTCGCTTCAAGTTAATACGTATAACACCACGACTTAAATTTAATATAATAGAACAACTTTTTCTCAATACCAATAAAAGAATTAACATGGCTATAAACATACCGTGTCAATTGTCTTAACTTGAAACAAAATGTTGCCAACAACAGATATTTATTCAAAATGCTGACATTAACGAAACATTTTCAACATGCAATGACGTCACACGAAATATGAATGTGTCAGAATGTGACTTTATATGATAATAATATATTTAATATTTGGCAATGCTATTTTTATTTCATATTTTTTAGAATTTGTAAACTTTTTATTAACAAACTGTACGATTTAAAACAGAGCAGTGGCAACACTTTTCGAAATAAAGCAGATTTTAACTCCAGTGTATGAGACTGTTGCCACTCGGAAAAATAAATGAGAAAATGAGCGGTTTCGGAGTTTTTAATTAATATCTCGGCTTATTAAAGTCGTACAAAGATGAGAATGATCGAAGTTCCCACGAAATTTTGAATCCGGGGGAGGTATCTCTCTCCAAACTCATCTCCCCGCAGTTCAAATATTAAACACTTTTTGATTATCTATTATATTACCATTTACTAAGTAAAATTCTTGTGTCTAATTTGAATATTTTAAATCATTATTATGCAAAAGAGCTAATGATATTACGTGAAAATGTTGAATGTCTAAACCGGAAGTGAATGTTTTAATTATTTGCTAACGAGTAAGCTAACAAGTCTTATATTTTTGTTGAAACCTGAAGTGCCATTAAAGTGACTCTTAAAGTTACGTATGCAAAGATAAAAGGTTAAGAAATCTCGGAGAAAACTAAAACATGTAAAACAAAGGTAATAAAGCAGTATCCATAGTATACTAATAATGTAATTGTAATCTAAGCAACTGTATTACCAAGCAAAATTATACTTTCCTGATTCTTTTTTAGAAATTTAATCGAGTACTTTTCGAATTCATGCATTCAACTTGCTCTGTAGTATACTGAGTAGTTTCTAATTAATTCAGTATTTAGTGAATATTTATTTATTTTAAATTTACTGAGTTAATTAGAAATATAATGTATGCAAAGAATAATAATATTGAAACTGTTATTACTTTTCTCGAATGAATAAATGTTTCTTTTGTCTGCGAATAAAATATCATGTTTGTACATTCACATATTTTTAAGATTAGATCTTACTATGTTTAAGCTTATAATTATAGAATTTTAATTATTCCTATTAATAACATATGATAACTGAAATATTTCTCCTCATAATATTAAGGGAAGTCGGAACACCCTATACCGGCAAAGTTGAATTGGCCATCGTCGATGTACCTTTTCTCAAAATCTGCTGCAGGTACACGTTTGAAAATTTTTGTGTAATTAAAGTATACCTACCTGATTATACCGAAATGAGCTTTTGAAACATCCAGTTTTGGAGTAATTTATAGAATATTGTATTAGGCATAATAATATTTTGCACTTTTCTCACAAAAAAAAAATATATATAAAAATTACTTTTCTTAGTTTATCATAAAAAGTTCAGGTGAATTTTTACATTATAGTAGCTTGGCGATTTTTTGGCAAAAATTTGGCGACCAATCCTGCTACAGCAACCTGCTAGTTTTGCTTCGGACGCCATTTTGTTTTCACGAAGTAAAGGCATGTTTTTTTTTTTCTTTTTTTTTTTTTTTTTTTTTTTTTTTTTTTTTTTTTTAACTCAACATTTTTTCCAACAAAATCTGCTAGCCGAATCACGCTTATACTAGAACTTTTATGGAACAAAAATGCTTAATCATGACGAAGATTAGGTGCGAAATTGAGAGAAAGTACAGAATCGCAAACGTTTTTAAGAATTGCACATACACGGTATCCATGTACACGTCAACCTATTTTCACTTAAAAAAAAATCCCAGAATTGCACACAAATGGCATTGCGCACACTCTTGACTTTATCTATGTACACATCGATCTATTTTCACTTAAAACGTCAAAGAAAATTGACAAAAATCCAATTCTTCTTACTCTTGTAAAAAGCGCCAAACAAATAAGTGGACGATTCTACACTTTAGCAGCGAAATTGTTTCTAAGTGCTTATTAGCTAAAATCACGATCGGAATTTTCTGGAAAATGTCACATTACATGTCTCATGATCTCTCATTTCTCTGAGACAAAATAATCCGTGATTCGAACTGTGTACTTCTCAGATTATATCTAAAGTCCTAGCTAGTAACCTTTTATCGCCTTACCAAAATGTCGCCAAACTACCTGTTACCATATTGTAAAGATTAGCCAAAGTTCATTTCAGTATATATTAGGAAACATTATAAATAAGCCATAAAAATTTACATACCTGTGAGCAGTAGTTCTTGAGAAAAGGGTCCTCGAGTATAAAGAATCACATTTGGAGAAAAACGCTTTCTTATGTAAAAATCCTCATTTATCAAAGTATTCGATGATAAATTAAAAATAAATGTTTTATCAGTTTTAATTTTCATAGAGATTAAAGTATGGTACTTTTAGAAAGCTAAACGTGAAGAGAATTTGAAATGCAAAAATCCCAAGCCACCATTTTTTGAAGATTTTTGCCTGTCCAACACCCTTTAATCTACGAAATTTTAACCCAATAAGTATCCGGTGTTCATTGAAATAGTAAGCACCATACTTGAGTAATAATGGAATCGAACTTATACGTTTTATTTTGTCTATGAATGTCTAGCAATTAAGATACCAGTCATCTTTCTTCATTCTAAATTTTTCATGAGAGTTGGGCGTTGTTAAGATAAACCTCTTTACATATGTCTTTAAAAAAAATAGTAATAGATGAAGACAAGAGAAAGTTGGAAAAAGATATACAAATTCACAGAATACATACAAATATTTCAGAATATCAAGATTCCTTCATAACTAGTAAACGAAAGAAAGCAAAAAATAAATTTGACAGCTTTGATCGGGTACATTACTTTCCCATTTATAAACAATTACTTATAAATTGAATTTAATATACTACTGATAATCATGCTTTTTCTTAGTAAACGTGTCCATAAGTTTTTCTTTTCATTTAATCTAATTATCAGTGTTACAAAATACACTGAAGGGACAAAAGTCATGGGATACCTCCTAATATTTTGTCGGTCCTCCTTTTGCCCGGCGAAGTGCAGCAACTCGACGTGGCATGGACTCAACAAGTCGTTGGAAGTCCCCTGCAGGAATATTGAGCCATGCTGCCTCTATAGACGTCCATAATTGTGAATGTGTTGACTGTGCAGGGTTTCGGGCACGAACTGACCTCTCGATGATGATGTCCTATAAATGTTCGATGGGATTCATGTCGGGCGATCTAGGTGGCCAGATCATTCGCTGGAATTGTCCAGAATGTTTTTCTAACCAATCGCGAACAATTGTGGCCCGGTGACAATTGTCATCCATAAAAATCCCATCGTTGTTTGAGTACGTGAAGTCCATGAATGGCTGTAAGTGATCTCCAAGTAGCTGAAGGTATCCATTTCCAGTCAATGATCGGTTCAGTGGCACCAGAGGACCGAGTCCATGCCATGTAAAAACAGCCCAGACCATTATGGAACCACCACCAGCTTGAACAGTGCCTTGTTGACACCTTGGGTCCATGGCTTCGTGGAATCTGCGCCACACTCGAACCCTACCATCAGCTCTTACCAACTGAAATCGTGACTCATCTGACCGAGCCACGGTTTGCCATTCTTTTAGGGACCAACCGATATGCTCACGAGCCCACGAGAGTCGCTGCAGGCGATGTCGTGCTGTCAGTAAAGGCACTCGATTCGGTCTTCTGCTGGCATAGCGCAAGGAAGACAAATTTCGCTGCACTGTCCTATCGAACACGTCCCTCGTACGTCCCACATTGATTTCTGCGGTTATTAGACGCAGTGTTGCTTGTCTGTGAACATGGACAACTCTACGCAGACGTCGCTGGTGTCGGTCGTTAAGTGCAGGTGGTCGCCCACTGCGCTGTCCATGGTGGGATGTTATGCCTGAAATTAGATACTCTCGGCACACCCTTGACACTGTGGATCTCGGAATGTTGAATTCCCTAACGATATCCGAAATGGAATGACCCATGCGTCTAGCTCGAACTGCCGTTCCGCGTTCAGAGTCTGTTAATTCTCGTCGTGCGGCCATAATCACGTCAAAGCCTCTTCACATGAATAACTTGAACACAAATGAAAGCCCTGCCAAAGCACTTCGCATTTATACATTTTCTACGCGATACTACTCCCATCTGTATATTTGCATATTGCTATCCCATGACGTTTGTCACTTCGGTGTAAATACTGTGTAATTTATTTAATTTAATCATAATATTAAATTTTATAGATAACAGTATTCCGGATGGGTGAAGGACCGTGCCAAGAACTGGATCAAGCAATTCTCATAGCTCTACTTAAAGGTAATAAGAGAACACTCAGTAAATAATTAACGTAATAATAAATAATTTTCTTAATCAGTCTTTTGCCTCTATGAAGGACTATATAAATATGAAATTTTATGTTTTCAAAATCGTTTTACCATCTCTGATGAAAATGTTCCTGTAAATGTACTTATTTATATACCGTATATCCCGGCGTATAACGCATTATAACCGGTATATAACGCATTATAACCGGTATATAATGCGCACCCATAACTTCGAACCACAAACCACATTAGGTATATTCGTCGTACAATGCACACACCTTTCTTTACGTAGGAACCTGAAAGATCCCACTGCGATGCTCAATCTTTTGAAATCATTAATTCGAAGACTTTTCTCAGGTTTTCGAACAATAGTATACTGAATTGACAAACGATAAGGGGACCAATGTGTATGTAGGGTAAATGCTTGAGGGATAAATGATTTTGCAAAGACGGTGCGTTGTGGTCAAATGCAGCTGTGCACAAGAATGTCATTCTAGTGTTTCGAGAAAAGGAAAAGATTATTTGAGGTAAAACTGCACTTCCGAGCCAAATGAACTTGCGGAATGTGCAGTTACATGTCTTCTATTTACATGTCTTTACCTGTCTAGTCATTTCAAGTCATAGACTCACCAGCGGCCAAGCGGTAAAGTCGCTGAACACTGGTAGTTCTGTCCGAGGTTCGAATCCCGCGAACGGGCTGGCTTCATGGGAGTTTTCGTGGTTTTCCTCATGTGTAACGTGTATACAAGCCAGCTTCCCTTAGAAAGTCCTCCACGAAGGCATCCCTCCCTTAAGGCAGATAGCCCTCGAGTGCTTTGCCGTAATCTAATTTCGAAGGGAACATAGAACAGGAAAGAGCCCAAATGCATCATGTCAGTCTAGAAATAGTGTCTGAGTGGATAATAAAAGCATGGAAATAAATTAACCCCGATATGATTCAAAAGTCATTAGAAAAGTGTAGTATATCCTTAGAAAGTCCTCCACGAAGGCATCCCTCCCCTTCGGTAGATAGCCCTAGTGTGCTTTGCCATAATTAAATAAACCAAACCATTTGAAACCATAATTTTGAATTGAACATAGAACAGAAAAGAGCCCAAATCCATCATGTCAGTCTAGAATTAGTGTCTGAGTGGATAATAAAAGCATGGAAATAAATTAACCCCGATATGATTCAAAAGTCATTAAAAAATTGTAGTATATCCACCAATCTAGATGGAACGGAAGATGATTTTTTATTTATGGCTCAAAATAAGTATTCGTGAAGATGAAACGTAATTCTATGATGTGCCTGAAGATATAACGGAAAATGAAGATGATGAAGTTTTCATGTTATCAGATAAGGAATTTTTTTAAGTTCGTAAGGAATGTCAATTCTTGTAAACAAACAGCATTTAGGTACATGTAGGAATATAATTTTTGTATGCTCATCTTTTCCTTACTTTTAAATCTACCATTTTTATATCCGATGGAAAAGCGCGACCGTAAAGTGCGATCTTATATTTTATTCTAGCCTTCGTTTGGCTTTTAAATATACCGGAAAAGTGCCTAAACGGAACACCAAACATTAATTTTAAAAACTGCGCAGAATTTTACTCAGCAGAAGAATATTAAAAATCAAAAAGCACAAATTTCAATAAAATTGCATTACATATAAAAAAATCTGATGTGTACACCACATGTCTTCCTTGTACGGAATATTAAATTATACGCATTTTTTCTTGCATTTTATGTAAACTTATTAGATTGAATTAAACCTACTTCGCCGACAGCGCATAAACCACAATAGAATAAATGCATTCTTTAAAATTCACTTTGTTCACCATAGCGACACTCTGGCGCTAGGTTTACTTAACAGTATTATATTTCATTCATATTATAATAACTCAGAATGCACATTGCCACATGTTCTATTCAAATACTATAATAAAACTAGAACTATGTATAAAAGAAATTAAGCAAACAAAACAAAAAAGAAACAGTTTTCACAGACGATTCAGTATTTCTCATTCAATTCATTCAGTTCTCACTTCGCGAGAAGGCAGAAATACATAAAAATTCAAAATATGTATATTAAAAATTGCGAAGTAAATCTTAAACACTTTTTTCCTCGAAAGAATTCCAGAAAGGATTAAGCATGGTTTAATTGGCAATAATAAATGAATGCATTATCTTTGTTGTTGCGAAGCTAAGTTTCTCTAGATTGGCAACAAATCCACTAGTCTCCTGTTTCAAATGTAAACATCAATGACCGCCATTAAAAACTGTCTTAGCGGCAATTAAACAACTTTAAAATTGCTGATAATTCTAAAAGTATTGCACACAGATTTGCTAAAGGCATAAAATCCTTGACCGGAAGATAAAAACAACATAATTCAATCATTTTTAAAGCAAAAAATGTACAATTTACAAACATATAAGGGTAAAGAAACTGACATCGCTGAGCAGGGTAACAGAGTGGATATATATATATATATAAATATATTTATATACGTTTGGCGCGGCCGATTGCAACCAAAATACGAGGTGCACATCTACGTGTTATAGCAGTCCTATATACAAAATTTCAACGTTCTGAGGCTACTTGTTTTTGAGTTATGTGAGATACGTACGTACGCATGAACGTACATACGTTCGTACAGACGCCACGAAAAATTCTCTTCAGAATTAATTTTAAAGCAGTTTTATAATTTTTTTGTAGGAAAAGAGTCTTTTATTCTGTCCTTACGTACAAATATCACGCAAAAACATCGTTAAATGGCATTCGATAATGGTAAAAATGGATATTTTCGTTGAAATATACTGCCTGAAACTTTTCGCGATTACAATACTTCCTTTTTACTTCGTACAATTAAGTAAAAATTACAATGAAATAAGCAATATCCTTTAATACAAATATAAATAAATTAACCAATTTTCCTTTGCCTTTTCTCTACAAACATCCAGTATCAAAGAGAAACATTAAATTTAAAAACTGCACAGAATTATCGCCCTCACTTTTTCGGAGTGGCAACAGGGATATACCAACAACAATGGCTGCGTGCCATTGTAGCTGATATAATGAGAGAAAATTATGATTTGACACGATTTGATCAAAAAATATAAAATAAAACAAATTTCATTCGAATTTTGAAAACATCCCTTTCTAGGTGCAAAGGTTTTTGTCCAGGTGCGCCTATGTACCAAATTTCGTAGCCCGGGGTCTACTAATTTACGCGCATCACGAAAGAAAGACACACACACACTGACTCTTTCTTTTATATATGTTACCGTGAAAGACCGAAATTTGAGAATGTCGACTTTCACCGGAGAATGTCAACATTCACCAAATACGTCGGTGAAAGATCGAATATTGCACTACATTCTTGTATATTCGGACCCTCACCGGTGTATGTCGACAATCACAGATATGCTCTGGTGTAGGTCGAAAAGAGAGGAGTTTATGTACACGCTGCCATTCCTAAAGGAAGTGTTCCACAAATAAATGCGGTTGTAAAAGCAAGGGCCTCTCGTGCAATTCAAAGTGTCATAATAGTTTAAGTTGTTGCAATAAATAAGATTTGAAACACATAATTTGGTAAGTTTATAACTTCTATTATTTTCCTTTTTCATTTTGAATGTACTGTGTGTTTTAAGTTCTTATATTCTTAAGTTCTTATTCTGAGTTTCAAGTGCGTTTTTTCGCGAATGAATTACGGAGAAGGAAATATAATATTCTTATATGTTCAACATTCATCATTAGTACATGGTGAATGTCGACACTGACCGGTGTAAGTCAGAAATAAGTGTATTTGGAAAATATTTCGGACATACACCAAGCGACTATGTGAATGTTGACATTCACCGGTGAAAGTCGACATTCTCCAGATTTCGGTGTTTTACTGTAACATATATACATAAATTAAAAGTGCGGCTTATACGCGAGATACACGGTAATGATTTTTTTTTTTTTTTTGGAAGTACAAGCTATCATTACACCAGACAGCCTTTAGACAAGTTACACCTTGCACAAAAAGAAAACTGGAACATTTCTAAATCTCCCGTTCTACTGGGCCCATTAACGAAATTTAAAAAGTGCGACTTGATGATATATATTAGGTTTAGTGGTTATAACGTTTTTACATAAATTACACATTTCGAACACCCAAATAGGTTAATTAAACTCATTCCCGTGAACTAACAAATCTTCTGCCACTCAAAGCGCTCTGAAAACGATTTGTGATCAGCATATAAAAATTGGAAGATTTTTTTTAAATCTCAAAATACTATTTAATTATTAACCTTATAGCTACCACTCCAAAGGAAGGCAAATATAGCCTAAACTAAATAAATATTTTACTTTATAGAACACTTTTTAATAATTTTCATTGATAAACTTTAAGTAGATTTGCTAATGACTTTGCCTTTTTAATGTGTGTGTCTTATTCCCATGAAAGCCGCCATCCACTCTTTCGCTTCCCTCAGCCCTTCGAGAGAACCTTCGGGTTGGTAGTACTTTAAGCACCCACATGCTGCAAAATACTATACATATATGCAAACATCTGTGTCTTGTGCAATAACCGAACCTGGCAGACATACAGGGGTTGGACAAAAATATGGAAACACCTTTAAAAAAACATGTTTCTTTGCTTAATATGGTGTAGGAAACCTGTTGGCATCCAAAACAGCTTGCAGTCTTCTCGGAATGGATAAATACAGTTCTTGTATGTTTGCCAAGGGAATATTATACCATTCTTCCTGCAAAACGGTGGCAAGTTCAGATAACGATGTTGGCGGTGGATAACGAGAACGCACTTTCCGTTCCAATGTAGACGACAAAGGTTCGATAATATTCAGGTCTGGTGACTGTGGTGGCCAGGGGAGATAGAACAACTCATCCTCGTGCTCAGAAAACCAGTCCCGGACAATGTGAGCTGTGTGAACAGGGGCTTTGTCGTCTTGGAAGACACCATCACCATCGGGGAACAAAGTTTGTACCATGGGATGAACTTGATCGG